TGTATGCATGTATACAAAACAATATTATGATGAATTATATACTCTTGTGCACTCGCGTCATGCGGCATGCAAAAAAAAAAAAAAAAAAAAAAAAACGAACAAAAACAAAAAGAACCCTTGATATGGGCAAAAAAAAAAACGACTGATAGATTTTGAGGCACAGTGCCGCCAATTCACATTGAATAACGTAACGGTTACCCATTATAATAGGCATAATGCGTTTTATTATGATAAGGCTAAGGCGGTTAAAACAAAAAAAAACTCAAACACACACACACACACACATACGCATACGCATGCATTAAGAGTTAAGCAAAAAAAACGTCTGTAACAATAACAATTATAGATCTATTTACGAAGCTAATTAAGTAATTCATTCACTCACTCAGCTCACAGTTTTGCAGCCGACCAAATTTTGAACTTACATAAATTAATAAAAAAAAAAAGTATAGCAAAATTACTAAATCATCCAAATTTCAAATGGTTCATGGTTAATAAAAAAAAAAACATATATACATATATAGCATTTGGCGTTGACTAACACTTGGTATGTACACTAGCTAGCCCATTGATGACTAAAGTTATGATTAGTTCGAATAAGAACACATTAGCTCTCAGAAAAAAAAACATTATACCATAAGCATTAGGGTAAATGAATGTATGTATGTACTATATGTGTGAAAAAAAATTTGTATGCGTGTATGTGTGTATGCATGTATGTTTCTATTGTATGGATAAGTGCATGAATGCACCATAGCCAAGTGCTTCTTCACTCAGAGAGACAGAGAGCGAGAGCGAGAGCAAAAAAAATGGAACAAAGTTTCATTAGTTAGTACATTTACTTGATGAATGAATGTTGTAATGTATTCAATATTGATGTATGTCTGTATGTTAGATCTTAGCATATGAAAAGTTGAGAGACATAAAAAAAAATGTAAGTGCATACATAGCTAGCTAGCTAGTTGTTGATCCAATTGAGTATAATCAAAAAAACAATCCACACACACACACACACACACACACACACACACACAGAGAGATACTTTTAAGGGCAACCCGAGCAAATAGTTGTATATGTATCTATATGTATGTGTGTATGTATATTGCTATGCACATTTTCATAAATATTTATATACATATATGTATAATGTACACATACATATGTACGTTTTATATATTTGTATGAGCCAATCTAATATGGAAAATATGCACTCGGCATGTTTTCGGTCGAATTGTCCCTTCCAACATCCGCATAATTGTTTCTTCGTGTCAATTATAAGTAGATTAAAGTCGCAACAAAATACAAATATAAAAAAAAAAAAAACAAAAAAACAAAAAATGAAAAGAAAAATGAATACAAGAAAAGAAAAACAAGTTCCCCTGAACTGCATCCAACTAAAGGCAACATTTACATATTATTTGTTGTCTAATCAAAGATATTATATATATAAGTCTATTTATATATACGTATATATCTATATCTGGCTGGGCTAGGATTTATCATAAGAAGAGCTCGATGTTATCTCAAGACCCAGGTGGGGCGCCATGCATTTCAATCGTTCATCAGACTCACTGGCCAAGTCGCTTTCTGTTTTGAAAAAAGGCAAAATCGTGTTCATCTCAATACAATCCAGATTTACTTACTAGGATACGCTCCCAAAATTTTTTTTTTTTTTCTGCCACAATTGGGCGAGACTGAGCCAGGCGCCCTGTTTCCCAATCGATTGCTTTGCAATATTGATCTAGAAAAATATTGGATGCCATTGATATTAGCGACTTTCTCAAAGGTGATAAGGAAAGTGCCTTCGATGGTCTTCTCATAGCCATCGTCCACTCTGACTTTGGCTGAGCTTTCTTGGATGACGATGAAGCGGCATCAAGTCTTTCCCTCAAACTGATGCCAAAAAGCGGACAGCGGACAGCGGACAGCGGGCAGCATTCTTACACTATRTGGATGTAATATGGCTTCAAGAATTTTCCGTATCATTGCCATGCTGATTTTTGTGTGTGTTTACTGTTAACCCCCTACACAGCGACCCCCTTCCGCCCACTTAGCGAATACCTAACTTGAATGCATGTTCACTGAGATAAACTAGTTAGTTATGCATATATCACATATGTATATGTATGTATGTATGTATGCACTGTTTGCACGGCCAATGCATTAAGAAACAAAAATCACATATAAACTATGTTTAGGCAAATGGCAAGTGGCAAATGGCAAATGGCTGATCGGCAAACACATGCATGCAAAAATTCATTAAAAAAAAAAAAAAACATAAATAATAAGAGAAAAACCAAAAACTCATCTAGACTCATTTATTTCCATAAACAGTATTCGAAATGATGACAACTTATAAGCATTCATACATATGATAAGTACTCCTAACTATACGAATACATACTGCACACAAATACACTTAAAAACGCACACAGACACACACAGATACGCTCTACTTACTGCTGTGTGTGTGTGTGTGCCATGTAAAAATGATGAGAATCAATACCTTCGGGAATTTAGTATTTCGTAAAGCAAACAAACTTAAGGAATAAAGAAAAAAGAAAAAACAAACAAACAAACAAAAATTAGTGAAAATGAATAATGAAAATGAGAAATTTGTATTTTAATTGTAAGTGTTAAGATATAAGGCAGCATGTGACTCAAATTGATTCAAGCGGAGCGTACAAATCCGTGTGCATGTGTCTGGCATGCACACGATTGTGTGTGTGAAAATATATACTAACATATATACATATAGTATATGAATTATGAATAATACTAAGTAAATTTCTTAATGATATTGATTGGTTTTTATTGTGACAAGCGCAGTCGTAGCCGGCTGCTAAATATGATATTATCTAAGCTAGATTGACAACACAACAAAATGGTATTGTTATTGATATACATAAATATAAATATACACATGCAACAGCGCAGAGACAGAGGCGTGAAAATAAATAAGTAACTAGGCTAAATATTTGAATAAATGAATTAGACATTTACAAATAAGCAACGGAAAAAACTTAACAAAAAATAAAAAATAAAAAAAATAAAAAAAAAAATACAAGAAAAAAACGGTACACAGGAGAAATAAAAAAACACATGCAAATGAAAGCCCGAACAACAAAAACTAAAGCGCTCAGCGCAAAAGCTTCGTTGTGTTGTTGTTGAACAAGTAGCATTTTAAAAAAAAAAAAAAAAAAAAAAAAAAAAAAAACAGCAACAAAAACGTGAGCGCAGCAATAATTATAATATCTTTAATGAAATGCAAAAACCTTATGAATTTATAGGCCAATGAATGCTCCACATATACACACACATGCACATCCGCACACACACACACACGCAACTACAGCAAGCTCATATGAAATATACTTATATACATACTTAGTCCAAAAACTAAAATCAAAAATAAATCATAATAAAAATCTCACATATCGCATATATACATATATATACACACACACTATATATGTATATATATGTATCAACAATATGTGCTTCAACCATAAAATTGCTGCTGTTGACGCTCCTCAGTTAATGCCCCAACTTCTGATCCGGATTCCTAATGCTAACCGTATACAGAAAAAGAAAAACTGAAAATGAAAACGAAAATGAAAATGAAAATGAAGAGAAATCTGAAACGAATTTAAATCTGTTGCTAATGCATATATGTATACATGTACTATTAGATCTCGATCTGCTGATCCTTAAGTGTTTCACTCTCATTTCACTCGGGTATACGCGCAAGATCAGACATTTCTTTATACCACTTCCAAGGAACCGATGGTCGAAAATAAATGAAAACAAAAACCAAATGAAATTAGATATATTCAATTCATAAGATGTGGACATACATTATAATAGAGAATATCAGAGCAAGCATTATATTATTCACTAGCAAGATCAAATACAATCCAATTTTTTGATTATATGATTTTTAAAGCAGTACAAAATCAATATACTAATATAAGCATACATATGCACAGATATATGTATATATGAGTATACATGTATATGTGTGTGTATATGTTAGTATATTGTTCAAATGGAATTGAGCATTTCCAATCCATCAAATGTTTCGATTCGTATTGAAATATGTATCAACGATTTACGAACTAGTTCATATACACACACACACACACACACACACACGTATATTGAAAGAGTTGATGGAAAGCAATAAAGGCGCATCAGAAGTTTGGTACACAGACACTGCAGAAACACATGCATGCACACCGACACCTATACACACACACACACACAGTACAGACCTCACACCGTATGTTTGTCAAGGAATATTAGAAAAGCAACAAATATTGAAGGAGACGAGTAAAAGATGTTCATTATAATAAACTTTTTGAAACCATTTCTAAAGAACTGTTAACTGTTAATAAACCTTAAAATAAACAAATATTAAAATGAAAAAAAAAAAAAAAAAATAAAAATAAATTGAAGGAGACGAGTAAAAGATGTTCATTATAATAAACTTTTTGAAACCATTTCTAAAGAACTGTTAACTGTTAATAAACCTTAAAATAAACAAATATTAAAATGAA